AATCTCTGAACTGCTCAATCAGCTCCAACTTCCTAATCATTATAGCTGACATATGAATGGATTTCCTAATCAATACATCTGCTACCACACTCGCCTTCCTAGGATGATACATCAACTGGAAATCAAAGTCCTTTGGAATTCCATCCATCTCCTCTGCCTCATATTCAACACCTTCTGATCAAACAGGTACTTTAAACTCTTGTGATCACTGAATACACTGAATCTCGCACAATGACATGGATCGACTATTTCCGTGTCACCTACACAATAATAAGGGATTCAACTTTAAAACAAATTTCAACTTTAAAACAACTTTCAACTTATCACCTTAGTACTATGTATCTCAACATAGGACATATATCTTCACCATATGTCCCCAACTTTTCAACTCAACAACAATAGACACCATAACAACTTTACAACAATAAATATCTGGTCGCTTGTAATCGGTATAGCTTGGCATGGCCCCTATACCGTGGTCGCTTTGTACACGTGTTCCTTGACCTTGCCCATACACGGGATCAACTAAGTCCTAGAGGAGAACAATACAACGTCCACTCCAAGGGACAACTTCCCAAGGAGGGTTTTTCAACAAATTGGGCTCTCAGAGCACTACAACTATCTCAATCCACACAATGGGATGAGCAAATTCAAAAACATCTCCCCTAGTTCTAGTGATCAACAACTCATCATCACAACTTAATAAGCGTAACAACTTAAACAACATACAACTTTTCAGCAATAAACATCTTATCAACTTTACAGCAATATACATCTTAACAACAATAGACAACTTACAACATGCAAACAACTTAATTAAACAACTATAGTCATCACTATATCAACTTAATGCAACTTAACAACTTTATAAAAAAACTTCAGCAATATACAACATATTTAAAATTCATCTATCATGTCAACTTATATAAACAACATAAATCAACTTAAGCACCCAACAACTCAACTATTTCAACAAAAGAACACCATGCATAAAACTTCCCTAACTCTCCTGAAATTAAACAACCTACATTCTAGCTTCCCTTACTTGAAGATTGGCTCAAAATAGCCAATAACTGAGAAGAAGTAGAATTCCTTGCCGAAGCTCAACCCGGAACTTCAATCCTCCCAAAGTAAGCTTCCTAATATGAATTTCAAGGAAAGACAGAAGGCATTAGTGATCTAGAGGAGAAAAGGAATCATACAGAGAAATTTGGGAGAGAAAAGAGCTCACAGACCCAGAGTTCTTCTCTCTAAAACTTCTCTCTAAAAACTCATTCTCCTCAACTGCCCCCAACCCCTATTTATATAAGTTTCAGAGTGGCCAGAACGGCTTGTTCCGAATCCGAAACGGCCCGTTCTGCACCCCTTCATCATGGGCAAAAATCACATGTAGAACGACCCGTTCTCCTTCCAGAACGGCCCGTACTCCCTCCGGAACGGCCCGTTTTGGTGTTTGGAACGGCCCGTTCTCCCTCCAGAACGACCCATTCTCAACCACGATTTACAGGTCAATTTAATAGCTTGGAACGGTCCGTTCCAGATTGGGAACGGCCCGTTCTGGGCTACTAAATCACCTATATTTTTTTTTCTACGTTACACCAACAATATAAGTCTGAACCAAACTACAATAAAATAGAATATAAAATGAAATTATATGCTGAGGTGGAAAATGGTGCAGTGGTGACATGGCAGATGACGTGGCAGCTCCTCTTGAAGTCCAAAAATTAATTCCAAGCCCAAATAATTATTAAACTGCCTTGAAAATAAAAATTAGAATAATTAGATTCAGAAAATTCAAATTAGTTAAAGTATGAATTACTGGTCCAATTAAAGCCCAAATAGAAAATAATGCAGAATATCAACAATTAATCACAAATCAGAGATTAAAATAAGTACAGAAAGGTAAGAAAATTAGGGAAAATAATGACTCATCAATATGGTTTGATCATGGAATCAGATTTGATCTTTCATTTTTCTTTTTTAATCAAATTTGATTATGATCTAAATTGATACGTGATTTTCTTGCCTTTAATTTATTTTGTAATCAGATTGGCTAGACTCTCTTTAACCAATTATGTCTATTTACACTCTGATTGTAACTTGTTGTAAATCAATGAATAAGAAAATCATTTTCTTCTCCAAACCGTAAAAATGATTTTTAAAACAACAAAGTTTTAGATATTAGGACACAATGCAAGATATTTGTTTATAAATCAATTCAAGGTAGAGTTTTCAACACCCATCCCAACCTGAAAAAGGTAATGACAAACTTATAGAAATTAAAAAATAAAGGCAGAAAATTGTTTTTGAGATATATTGTAAACAATCCTAATTAAACTAAAAAGCATGTTGTATTTCTAAATTTTTCTAAAAAAAGGTTGCCCATTGACTCCGAATGTCTTCCAATTTGGTTTCTGAAAATGGTGCAACATCATCAAAAAGATGTAACATATAGTATAATATATTAGTTACATAAAAATCATGTAAATAAATAAATTAATGATAGTAAAAGTAAAAGAATTATATTACCTCAATCCAATCATTTGTTACTTCCCCTTCAATTATGTCTAACATCCAATTCATCACATAATATCCACATTTGTAACCTCCTTGTTGTAGATTACTCTAAAATGAATATTAGATTGAGTTGTATAAGTAATTTTTAATTTAAGCTAATAAAAAAACATTTTAGGCATGTTAAGGTTACAAATCAATTACCATGGGATAAATCCAATCTAGGTTCTTTGGTTGTGTTGTAGATCTACCCCCCATGACATTATAGACAACCATAACACTAAAGAAAATAAATGAATGTAAGTTACATGGTTAAAGTTTATAACAGAGAGCATAAAATAAATACCTGTTACAAACTAAATTTTACCTTTTAATTAATTTTTTTATTTGAACATTTGGCTTATGATGAAAAGAACAAAACCAAACAACAACATTCTTTGCAGTACAGAGAACCAGTAACTACCAATGATTTCTACATTTAGGCACAATTAGTTATACAATAGATACATAAATACACAAATTAAATGGAGTTCAGAAAGATGCACTTACTGATCAACATAAGGAGCAAAGTAAATTTGCTTTGGTGAATTTTGTATCCTTTCATTGATATAATTTTGAGACTCCGCTTTTTTATTCCCGAATTTTTGAATTGATTGGGGCTCAAGAAATCCATACAATTCACCATAATTGAGGTCTTCCATTTTATGATTCAAATATCTAAAATACATACAAAAGAAAAAATTAATAGTGAAGGAATCATAATTAAATAGATAATGGTACTAACAATTGTGTACTTACAACATCCATAATTCTATAATTGAGATGTTAAGCATTGCTTGACGTTGTAATAATTCATATATATCTTGAAATGAAATATACAACATAAAATAATTATCGCTGATCCCAAATAGACTTGCAGGACATATCACCTGAAATTGGAAACTTGGGTAAGTAGCAAACTTATAATATAAATATGTTAAATAGTCTTTATATTAGTTTGTCAAGTCACCTGAAATGGTTGTCCATAAAGTAAGGACTTTGATGCCTCACGTAACCCAGTGATAGGATCACCATTGGGTTCTGACTTATCAATAGGTGGAACTTGTTTATTTGCTCGATCAATATCCTATACAATAAATCAAACATCAAACATTAATATGAATAAGCAATATGTATTCATAATTAAAGTTAGTAATAATGAAAAAATAGGAAAAAATATATACCGTGGTTGAAATAGGTCTGACAAGATGTCTCAGCCATGCAATGAAAGTCTGTAGGGCCTGCCTAACCAGCTGAACCTCTAAAGTAGGTATAGGAACTCAAGCTTTAGAATCTTGAACTTCTTCAATGACCACCTTGACCAAATCATTTGTCAAAGGCACGTGGTGTATAGTTGAACTCCCCTCACAAACTCTACCAATGGCCACGGCAAGGGGAGGAATCCCATCAATGCATAACTCACACTGATTGGAGATATCAGCATGAAGCTCATCCCCGAAGGGATTACCAGCAGCAGTAGCACGTGAAGGAGTTGGACAACTGCCTTT